CGGGGCCCGCAGGCCAGGAGGTACACCCTGCGGCTCGCAGGCTCATACCCGGTTACTCCAGGCTTGCCCTGCTCCCGCCCAGAACTCTGGAACCACTGCAGCAAGTGCGGAATCCGAGAACTGCCTCGCGGACACCTGCCCGTTTAACCGTTTCGCCCTGATCCGGAACCACCGACCGTTAGACCGCGGCACGAAGCCACCGCCACCCTCCGAGGCGGCGCGAACTACATCTCCCAGAGCGAGGCGCGCGCGCTTGGGGCCGTGGCCGCGCCGGTCCGCCGAAGGCGCCGCGTGGGCTGTCGCGCCGGGCTCCGAGCCCTGCTCCCAGACCGCGCCGGCCGCCGCGTCACCGTCCCGGGCGAAGGGCTCTTTTGTCAAACAGCAGGATGACGGCCGGCTCAGCCGATCGCCGGGCCTGCGCCTGCGCTCGCGTGCAAGCACCCAACTCCCGGGAGGCCGCCCGTGGCGTTCCGCGCGCGGCCTCTCCCGCCCGTCGGAGTTCTCGAGGCCGGAGTTCGATTCCTGGCGCCTGTGCTTCTTTCCCCTCCTAAGTATTCGCCGCCGCCCGCCGCCGGCATGGCGGTCCTTGTGGTCGTCACCTCGACCACGGCGATAAGCAGAGAGATTGAACAGAAGGAGGGGGATAAAAAGGCCGGGCCACTGAGAGAAATGTTGGGAAGTTTCGAGTCCTCCCTGGGTTTCATTCTAGAAGGAAAAAGAATGGGTCTGGGCCCGCCGCCGCGACACCTCATTACTTCCCAGTTACAGCGACTCAGGCATAGTAACCTAACATTTAAGTTTATGTCCTTGTCGAATGTAGAAAGCACACAGCGGCATTTATTTTCATTTCGTCCTAGAGCAGTGTATTGGTGAAAGCGGTCTCTGTAAAATACACGCCCAAGGCTTACGACCCACCGAGGCCACTCCCCCCCGGCCACCCCCGGTGCCGCATGTGCTTCTGGGAGTTGTATTCCGCAGGCCCGCGAGCATGGAGTCGGAGCCTGACACAGTGGACTACCACTCCCAGGATGCTTTACTTCCACGAGGCGCGAATCCACGGGCCCGCCCGTTGCGTCGCGTCCTCGGGAGGGGCTTCCGAACCGCCCATCTGTCGGAGTAGTGGTACCGGCGGCCGGGAGTCGCCACCTGGTGGACATAATGTGAACATGATTCTGTATTATCCCCAGATTTCTCAAACCCAGGTTTTCAGGATTCCGCGGAGCCTCCAGATCGGAACTCCAGCTCAGCGGCAGCCTAGGAAAAGGATAGTGAGAGAACGGTAAGAGCGGCCTAAGCCTGGCCGGGGAGCCTGCCCTGCCACTCCCAGAAGTCCCAGCCCACGGAAATCTGAGGCCGCCCGCTGTTCGGCCTTCGGGAGACCGGTCTTTGAGACGCAGTACGAGGCTCTAGGTGCCTGACTGGGCCACCTCGTGGACAAGGTTAGCGTAACCATGATTCCCTATAACTGCGAATTCTCAAAACCTAGGTTTCTCAGACTCTGCAGAGCCACGTGTCTCGCTTTTCCGGAGGTCCGAGCGCCCGCCTAACGGTAGCCCCTTGAAAATATAGTAAGACAAAGCTTTCGAAGTGCGGCCTACACCGAGCGGGGAAGCCTGGACTTGAACTCCCAGAAAGCGTTGCTCCCAGGTGAGTTGGATTGTCTGCGGCTGTCCACTGCCTCCTTACGCTGGAAGGGCCACCGTATAGCTGAGCCTTTTGGGAGCAGTAGGAGGCACTAGGTATCCGAGTTCGCCACCGGGTGAACAAGGTTGGTATAATCATGATTTTCTACAACTGGATTTTTCAAACCCAGGCTTCCTGGACTCTGCCAAGCCGTCCACCCACGCCTTTATGCATATTCAGACGTTCACACAAAAGTAGCTTCTGGGAATTTTAAATAGAGGGAGGTGTCTCGGTGACCCTTCGTCCTAGCTGAGAGGCTGGACTGCAAGTCTGGCAAAGCCCTGTCCCCGACATGAGCCTGGTAGCGCTGGCCCCTTGGGTGGGCACCTCCACTGCTACGCTCCTGGGAAATGCAATTGGGCTCAATAGTAAGGATGCTGGCACCTCCAAAATCGACCTACTGAATCCTAAAATACCTCTTAAATAGTTTCAGAATTGCTTCTCTCATACTACCAGGTAAAGTAACCTATTGAAAAGATTACAGGATGGAGTCCCTAACCACGACTATCCTGCCCAAGACACGGTAACAGAAACATAACCGGATGTTCCCACTCACTCTCAGGGAAAGCGGAGTTGACTCAGTCATTAGTGGCAATTGGTGTGCATTGAGGGGCTCTCAATTACTAACCAAAGGTGCAGGCACCTGAAACCTGTATTAACCAATGTCACCGGAACAGATTCAATTTAAAAAAAAAACCGAAAAACGAAACCCAGTACAAAACACATGCAGGGAAATGGACCATTGATAAAAATGCAGTGAAGGGGAGGCACCAGAGTGTGTCCTAGGTCTCACCACTGGAGTTGGGGAAGCTGAAGTGTACACAAATGGGGCTCTGAGCAAGAACTCAAAAGGAGGTATCTGGAGGGCAAGGGGTAGCCCCAGGTGGGCTAACACGAGGAATGGGTGGAGTTCATGAGGAAGGGAAAGGTAGATCACATACGTGGAAACTTGGCATTTCATGGGAAGAAATGCTTAAAGACCCTGTTATAAACTGAAGTGCAACTTCCTTACCCCTAAATCTATGTTGAAGCCCTAACCCCCACTATGACTGTATTCAGAAATAGAGGCTTCATGTGGGTAATTAAGTCAAATAAAGCCAGAAGTGTGGGGTGCTAATCCCACAGGCGGAGAGGATTCTTTCCACCATCAGTCTTCCCAGTGTGATAGTCCTTAACCAAGCAGACAAAAAATGGTCGTCATGTATGCTATAAAGTCTCTGGAAAGGGTTCCTTGAGTAAAGATTCATGCATCAGAGACAGAGGATATGTGGGCATGAACTGTGACAGGAAGAGGGAACAGTCCCTTACTAAGCAGAAAGGCCATTTCTACAGTCCCTGAGGAGGGCAGCATGTTATGTGTTTAGAGCAGGACCCTCGTAATATAGATGATACAAGAGTCAGCCTCATCACCCCCACCCCAGAGATTTGGACTCATTTGTTGGTATGCAAGGCCCAAGAGTCTGCATTTATCACCTACATACCAGTGATTTTCATGACAAAAGTCATGGGTCCCACTGTGAGAGACACTCATTCAGAAAAAACAAACAAGGTCTATGTGGCTGGTACACAGACACCTGGGGTAGACGGAGACTCAAAGGCAGGCAGATGCCCAATCTTTCAGTACCTTGTCTGTCACAATTAGGGTTTTTTTCTTTATCTGAAGAGTGGTAGGAACCACTGGGATGTATGAGACAAGAGTGACCCAATTGTATTTGTAGTGAAAAAGATTCTTAACCTGACTGGTGTTCCTTAGTTGATTCGCTGTTGCTCCACAAAGCCAGAGGTCAACTGTTTGATTCCTGGTTTGGGCACATGCCTGGGATGGGGCTTGATGGGGCAGTTGAGGAGCATATGAGAAGCAATTGATGTGTTTCTCTCACATGGATGTTTCCTGCTCTTTCTCCCTCTCTAAAAATAAAATTAAAAAGAGTTTCTCCCAGTGTTATTAGTTATTATTGCTATGTGGCAATAGTCAAGGATGGCAAGACGCCATTTAAAGGCCGTGGTTGTCAGCAAGACTGACTTCAGAGAACTTAGGGTTCACTGAACTACTATGGACCTTCCACTTACATTAACAAAAAGCTATTAAACACCAGATGAAGGATTAATAAAAAAATGCTTCAATAAAGAATTAACATAAACATTTCACAAACAGCTAAATCTTGCAAAATACAAGCTTTCAACATGGAAGTATGATTGCTTATGAGGAGGGACTTAGGAAAAATCTTGGTATTTTTGTGCAATGGCACCAGCTGTCCAGTGCCTGTGTGTCCTCTAAAGAAATTTATAACAAGAGCAGAGCAGCAAAAGCCATTGCAGAAACTGCAATGCTCCATGGAAGTTGTATTTCAACTTCCTATACCAATCTTCCCAATTCCATTGCATACAAGAATTAACTTATTGTAAAATAATGCAGATAACTAATATAAAATCTGTTTATAGTACAGATATTACTTATACTTTGTCATATGGGATTCAAATCTCTGACTGGTTGCTGTGTACCTCAATCAATTTACACACAGATCAGAAAACTTTATACTGACACAGTTGAGTATGCATGGTGATCCCATACAGATGCCACTTGCAAGTGGGGAAAACTGCCACACTATTTTTAGGGAACATCAGCGTCATTATGTACCGTTCATAAGCATTTCTCCACATTCAACAATGTACAGTAATGTTCAATGATGATAAAGTTGGACTGCGCTTAGTTCTTTTATTTTTAAAAAAGATTTTTATTTTTAGAGAGATGGGAAAGGAGGTAGAAAGAATAGGAGAGAAGCAATTGATCAGTTGACTCGCTAACCCCCAGCCAGGGACCTGGCCTGCAACCCAGCCATGTGCCCTGACCTGGAATCAAACTGTGATTCAAACAGTGACCTTTCAGTTTGCAGGAGGACACCCAGTCCATTGAGCCACACCAATCAGGGCTGTATTTAGTTTTTTTATAGGAAAGGCATGTGTTGGAATTTTTACCGTTGTGAAAACCTAAAGTTCGGAATCCAGTAGAAGTCATGCTCAAATCCAAACACTGTCCTGCTTCTCCTTTTGTGGGTTCTATAACATAGTGTTGATGGTCACTCACATCTGAACGGCTTCAGCTCTGATCGTCCATACATTTCCCTACTGGAAGGATGATCTGAGGAGTGTGTGAAGGCATGTGTATAAATGTCTGTCATCTTTCTCATGAGTACAATTGGGTCAAGTGTAAGAAGGGATGAACTATGGCTTAAGGCTTCGTATGACTCAGCTTGTGTGGGGTGCCTATTTCCAGTATGGGCTCTCTGGGCCTTTATCAGGGAACAGGTGCATGCAAAGGCTTTCCCACAGCCCCTGCGCTCACCTGTATGCATTTTCTGTTGCTGAGCGAGGTGAGTGCTCTGCTTAAAGGATTTCCCACAATACGGACACTCGTATGGCTTTTCCCTAGTGTCCTCTCATGCTGACTCAGCAATGACTAAAGGACTGCCCCCACTCGTTGCATGCGTAGGCCTTTTCCTTAGTGTGAATCTTCTGGTGTTGTATGAGAGGGGAGCTCTGGCTGAAGGCTCTGCCACACTCATTACACTCATAGGGTTTCTCTCCTGTGTGGATCCTCTGATGCAGAATGAGTGAAGAAAGCTGTCTGAAGGCTCTGCCACATATGTTACACTCATAGGGCTTTTCCCCAGTGTGAATTCGCTGGTGATTGGTTAGGGATGAGCTGTGGCTGAAGGCCCTGCCACAGTCACTGCACACATAGGGCTTCTCTCCCGTGTGGATTCTCTGATGTAGAATGAGTGGAGAGAGCTGGCTGAAGGCCCTGCCACAGTCGTTACACTCATAGGGCTTCTCCCCCGTATGGATTCGCTGGTGATTGGTTAGGGATGAGCTGTGGCTGAAGGCCTTGCCACAGTCACTGCACTTATAAGGTTTCTCCCCTGTGTGGATCCTCTGATGTTGACTGAGGTGTGTGCTCTGCCGGAAGGCCTTGCCGCACTGACTACACTCATAGGGCTTCTCTCCAGTATGCGTCCGCCTGTGGTGGCTGAGAGATGAGCTATGGCTGAAGGTTTTTCCACATTCATTGCAACTGAACGGCTTCTCTCCTGTATGAATCCTCTGATGCTCAGTCAGGAGTGTGCTCTGGCTGAAGGCTTTCCCAAACTCATAGCGCTTGTAGGGCTTCTCTCCCAGGTGAATCCTCTGATGTTGAGTGACGTGTGTGCTTTGCCGGAAGGCCTTCCCATACTGACTGCATTCGTAGGGTTTCTCGCCTGTGTGAGTCCACTCCTGTTGGCTGAAGGACCTACAACTAAAGGACTTCCCACATTCGCTGCACTCGTAGGGCTTCTTACCTGTGTGAATTCCCTGGTTCTGGATCAGTGGTGCAATTTGATTCAAGGTCCTCCCACACTGCACGTACTTAAAGGTTTTCTCACCAGTGTGGATTCTCTGGTGCTCGATGAGTGCAGAGCTGTGACTAAAGGACCTTCCACATTCTTGATACCTGTAGAATTTCTCTGTTGCATAGGTTTTCTGTTGCACATTTAATTTAGCATCTGGATTTCCCCTTTTTCCATGTATTCCCCGTATGCGGGAACATTGTCTTTCAGGACTCATGGGTTGAATTGGGGTATCTGGGTTCAGGCTTAAGTCTTCCGTAAACCCATTCCCAGGCTGCTGCTCCGGAACAGATGTCTTCACAGGCAGGAAGTCTGCCTGTACCATACCATCAGGACGCTCACAACTCTGTTCCCAGTGGCCCACAGTGTCTTCTCCGTTAGAGCCCTGCACACCATTCCACAGGAACCTTTCTACCAGGACATTGTTGGATATTTCTTCAGAGATGTCTTGCTTTGCAGCTGACAACTTGGTTTTTGACCTAGTTTCTAAGTCTGAAAGAAACAAAAAAAATGGAATTATCCCTTAATCGCTGTTTTGGGAGGAACAGTTTGTCTGTGGATGGGTAGATGGAAGAATTAGTGACAGTTTGAAAAAACAAGTGGCTTAGACCATTTAACCATATGACTTCACAAACCAGAGAAGGGGGAGGGCAAGTGCAGAGAACAGGGGAGTGGAATTGGTCTCAGTGGTACAAATGGAGTTGATAAAGGGGGGCACAGAGAAGCTGGGCTGGAGAACATGCTGAGGAGATAGTGAGACTTCAGGGAAAATCTCACCAGCTGCCCAGGCATGGAGGGAGCAGTGACGGCCAGGCCCCAGCAAATACAACGTCCATCAGGCCAGGTGGTGATGGAGGAAAAGCTGCCAATGTGGGAAGGACCACTCAGTCCTCCTGTTGCTCAGACTCTCTTCTTGGGGGCCCCTCACTGTTGTACCACCTCAGCACAGATGCAATGAAACCCTCCCCAAACGGGGATCTGCTGAAATGTCCATCATGAGGAGGATCAATAAGTGACTGTGGTATGTTAGAGCCGTTTCAGCTGATTTATTCTGTCTCCCTCACTGGGAGTACCACGCGGGCAGAGCCGTTGCCATCCTTACCCACAAGAGGGGTCAACAGACACGATGAACGAAAGACACGTGCACTCCCTCCCTCTCTTTCCTGGCGGGGGGCCTTTCTGAATGGTACCAAGCCTTCACTCTTGACACGGGACTGGCCTAAAGTTGTGATGTGGGCCCTGTTCCCATTTAGGCCAGACTCCAGTGGAAAAGGGGGAAAATTAATCAAGTGCAGAATAGTGTCTCCCAATGATGTTCACATCCTAAGGCTCACAACTAGTGAGTATGTGGTCACATTACATGTGAATGAGAAATTAAGGTTGCTGATCACCTGTGACTACCCTGGATTTCTGGGATGTTCCCATGTAACCACAGGTTCTTTTTCATTTTTTTAATAAACATTTCATTCATCTACTTTTAGAGAGAGGGGAAGGGAGGCAGAAAGACAGGGAGAGAAACATCTATCGGCTGCCTGTTGTACTCCCCAACTAGGAACCTGGCCCACAGTCGAGGCACGTGCCCTGACTGGGAATTGAACTGGAGACCTTTTGGTTTATAGACTTGCACTCAACCCACTGAGTCACACCACCTATGGCTACCACAGGTTCTTAATGTGAAAGGGGCAGGAGTGTCAGGGTCAGTGTGGCCTGCTGTCTGAAAACCTGGCCAGCCACTGCTGACACTGAAGATGGATAGGCCATGCGTCCAGGAATGTGGCAGCCTCGAGAGGCTGGACAGTGAATGAAAAGGGATTCTCCCCAGGCCCATAGGGAACGCTGTCCTGCCAACATCTCGAATGCAGCCCAGTCACAGTTTGGACTTGTGACCTTTAGAACTGTAAGATCGTTTGTGTTGCTTTAAGTCCTACATTTGTGGTAATTTGTTACAGCAGCAACAGGAGTCTGATACACTGGGTGAATGTTTTTTATTATTTAGCAGGGGAGACCCTGCTGTGACCTCCCTTTCACCCACTGTCCATCGTTCTGGGGCATTGGTGATGGGCCACTGCTTACACAGAGTCATGGCCTGACACCAGTGGGAACAGCCTGGTTGGGGGCCAGGACACCCTCACTTCTTACTGAGGTGCCTGCAGGTCTTGGGAGCTGGACAGCAGGTATGAAGAGCAGAACCAACCAGCCAACCTGCAGGCACATGGAAGAGCCAGGCATACAATCGTGACACACAGACTCCTGAGTCACAGTGAGCCTCTTTTTAAAGCACTGAGCCTGGAGCATCTGTTACTCAGTAAGAGACCTGCACCCCCCAGTGCCTCTGCACCTGCCGTTTCCTCCTCCGGGAATCTGTTCTCCCAGATCATCTCATGGAGGCCCTATTCTCAGGGTTCAGGCGTCAGCTCCCATGTCACCTCAGCACCCTCATCTCTCTGCTCAAGTCCAGCACCCAATTTTAGTCTCTACCTCCTCACCTGCTTTCACTTTCTCAGCATTCATCATAACCTATAATCATCCTATTCACTCTTTTTATTATAGTTCTAGTTTTTTGTTGTGTGCCCCTCTCCCTCACCAAGAATGCAAATTCAGGGAAGACAGGACCTTGTTCTCACGTATGGGAGAATGGTGGATGGTGAATGTTCACTACAAGATGAGTAGTCAGTTTGCTCTGCAGGATCTGAGATTAGATATGGAGAGAGACCTGTGGGGCGAGGAGGGTCCTCCCAGTCCTGCACACTCTCATCTCACCTGGATACACACCTTGTGGAACCTCCTTGTCCACGGGCCACAGCTCCGCCTCCTGCTCCAGCAGGGAGATGAGGGGGGGCTTCGGAAGCCAAAGTCCTGCTCAGGTGGAGACCAGGGAGTGAGCATTTGTGTCCCACAACATTTCCCAACCCTCTGTCCAACTCTACCTTCATTCTTTCAGGGCCCAAGTGGCTCACTACCGAGATAGACCAGTCATTGTGGTAATAGCCCCCAAGATTCTTCGATTCTCTCTGTCTCGGACCCCACTCCCAGTTCTGGGGTAGACATGTGACCCAATCTGGCCACCCAGCAAGAGATCTGCTCCTGCTTCTGTATGCTGGTAACAATGACCCGTGTGGAGGGGATGTGGTGACTGAAACAGGACAACCCAGGGCCCTCTGATGGGAACCCAAGACACACACACTCTTTTCTGCTGGCCTTGGACCCTGGAAGGGGTCATTTCAGCCTCACAGGATTAAACTGCAAATAGTGTGCAGCGGGAGGAGGTGCGGAAGGACGAGGCCCCTACCAGCACCACACGAAGACCCAGGTCTGGCTGGGGCTCTGCAGTTTTGGGACACAAGTGTTTGTGTTATCCAAGATGTCCTGCCCCTGGCATTTTCAGGTGAGATCTGTAACTAGTAGGCAAAACATCTTCATTGATATTCCTGAAGCCAAAAGAGTCTGGTCCCTTAGTCCCAAGACACAGCCAAGCTACCTGCTTTTAATGCCAGGACTACACCACTTTTAACTTAGGAAAATTAGTCCACATAGGGGAAGACCATGAAGGGCACAGATGTGGCCTTACCCACAGAGAGTAGGAGCCCAAAGGTCTCCAGCATCACATCACGGTACAGGGTCCTCTGGGCAGGTGTCAGCTGCCCCCACTCCTCCTGGGTGAAGTCCACGACCACATCCTCAAAGGTCACTTGCTCCTGGAACATCGCACAGGAGTTTCCTCAACAGGAATGAACCTGGCATTTGGTGCTGTGGAAAGAGCATGTGAACGGTGACATGTCCAAGTTGGGTGGGTGGGGATTCTCTCAAGTCTGAGGATTTGGGTCAGGTTTTTAGGCGGGGCCTTGGGCCTTGCTAGAGGAAGGGAGGTCTGAGGCAGTCAGAGGACCCATCCCTGTCTTCCCGCAATATGGCTGAAGAAAAACGTCATGAAATAAGAGCTGCAGTTGAGGAATCAACAACAGAGGGGAGGGCAGTCCAGGGCGTGTTGGGTGCAGCAGGAACCACGCCTGTGTGGAGGTGCCCTTGGGGTGGCGGCCATGGCTGGGCAACAGGGGAAGGCAGCACCCGAAAACTGTTAGTTTGGATTCTTGCCTCATGCTTGGGGCCAAAATAACATCCTGACGTGTCTAAGACATGTGCACAATGAATGAAACAAAGCCCTTGAAAAAAGAGAGAGAAAAAATAAACCTTGGGACAGAGATCTTTCTAATCATGACACAATGACACGCCCCTCCACCTTTATGTTTTGATGCAAAGCAAACCCCAAAATTAGTGTCTTAAAACTGCACCCATTTATCATCCCATCTCCTGTAGGTCAGAATCGAGCACAGCATTGGTGGGTTCTCCGCTCATGTCTCACAGGGCTAAAATCAAGGCATCAGTCAAAACGTTTTTATCCAGGCACTCGGAGGGGAAAATATGCTCCCAGAGCTATTCCTGTTGTTGACAGAAACAGTTCCTAAGGTTGTAGGATTAAGGTCTTGCTAGCTGTTGGCCGGAGGTCACCTGTAGCTCCTAGAAGCCACCCCTTAGTTAACAGTTCACAAGAAGGATATGTGCTTTCTTCAGGCCAGTTAGAGTACATCTCTTCAACTTCTTTCTGCAACCAGCCAGGCCAGGGAAAATGGAGTGCCTTTAAAAGGTTTGTGTGATTAGTTCATGTTTACCCAGACCACCTCCCTTTCTTCAGGCCAATTGTGTTATAACATAGTCAAGGAGTGCCATTATATATTAACAGGCTTTGGGGATTATGCTTACACACTACAAGGGCAGGAAATTTGAAGGCCATATTAGAATTCTAATTGCCACACTTCTCTCCAAGATTGAAATGCGATGTTCAACTAAAAAGGTATGAACTGGACATTTTGGGGGGCAATGCTGTCAAGACCGTGGACCCAGCCCCAGTCATGTCCTTAACTGCTGTGTGCCTCCCTGCTCTCACCTTTAAGTTAATGAGAACGCCAGCCCTGGCGCCGCTGTGGCTCAGTGGATTGAGCGCCGGCCTGCAACCAAAGGGTCACCGGTTGGGTTCCTAGTCAGGGCACAGGCCTGGGTTGTGGCCTAGGTAAGGTCCCCAGGACGGAGTGCAAGAGACACGACTACACATTGATGTTTCTCTCCCTCTATTTCTACCCCACTTCCCCTCCGTCTAAAATAAATAAATAAAATCTTTAAAAAAGAAAGAAAAAGAACTCCAAGAGGCCTGTTGGGAGGAGTGTGTGAATTGATGTGAATTGTGTGCCCTGTGTATGGTATGTGCTCTATCTGTGAGCATCACTCTTCAGACAGACAGAGTTTGCTGTGGGCTCATGAGTTTTCAAATGTCTTTCACCAACTTTCCCTATTTCCACCACATTTTCCCTATGTACTAGGTCTAACTGGTCATCTGAGGTCCTACTGAGAGCAAGTCACCACTCTGGGCACAACAGACGCTGTGGGAACAAGAGACACACATATGAGCCTGGCGGTGTTTGTGTGCTAGTTGTAGGGTCAGGGAGCCAGCAATCTAAAGTCCCAGGAGGGTCAGTGCTCCTGAGAAGATGGGATGCTGCTGGGCCAGCTACCCAGAGATCAGGAAGGTCACACGAGTAACAGGATGTGTGCTGGGCACTGGGGCCCCAGAGTGGGCAGATGGTCAGAACTGGGCCCTCCTCACAGTGATGTAACTTGGGAGATGACTTGTTCAGGTGCCCTCCTCATTCCACCTCATGGGGCTGATATAGGGGTTGGAAAGGGTCACATGGGTCCAGCACTGACCACAGAGTTCAGGACGTTCATTGTTCCACCCATTCGTAGAGTGTCTACTGTTTCCTTGGCCTTCGCAAGTGGCAAAAATAGCCAGAATTACTTTGCAGGCCGCAGGCAGCTGATCTAGGAGATCTTGTTCTTGGTCTTCCTGCTCTGCCTGTGCCTGTCTTTGTGAAAACTGCCTGGCATGGTCCCGCTCAAGACCCTTTGCTCATGCTGTTCCCACTACCTGGAACATTCTGTGTGTTAGCCCCCCCCTCCCTCCCTCCCCTCCCACAGGTCTCTGCTTTGCTTCTGGGCCTCTTCCTCACAGGGGTCTCCCAGGTTGGCCCACAAGCCCATTCTTTGAGGAGGACCCTTCCGGGCCTCATTTCTTGCACACCTTCACAGTTTACATTTCCCCAGAAGACTGTGAGTCCCCCAGGGACAGATTTCCGCTCCCTTATCTGTTCCTGCACCTGCGATTCCTGAAATGGTGCCTGGGCCAGTGCCTGGTCCTCGGCAGGTGCTCAGTACACATGTGCCTAGTGAAGAAGAGAGCGAGCGGGGAGTGCAGCCCCGGAGCCCCGTGTTGATGTGCCCGGCCCATCAGCGGGATAGATGATCAATGTCGGCCAGGCAGCAGGGGCAGGTGGGGGAATCCACGAGGTCCTCAGAGTAAGATCTGAAGGAGGACACGCAGCTGGCTAAAGCACACTCCTGGCAGGGGGCAGAGTGAGGACAAAGGCTCTGAGGCCAGCTGGGCCAGCAAGAACCACACATGCCAGAGCCTGGAGGCGCGACCTGACAGCGGTGGTGCACTCACCTGCAACCCCGCATCCAGGAGCTCAGCGGTCATTCCCTCCTCCTCTGGTCTCTTGCAGGAACGGCTGGCTTCTCTGCAAGCGGTCCTGGGGGGAAAGGGGATGTGAGACAATGAACAGGTGTCTGTGGGGACCAGAGACCCCAAGGGTCGGAACCCCTACCTGGAGGTAGAAGGAGCGAGCTGCTGCGGCCAGAGCCTGGAGCCCAGCACCCTGGCCAAACCCATGAGCAGTGAATCTCAGCTTGGCATTTCCCAAGCACCTGCTGTGAGCCAGGGCTGCTCTGGGCATTACTGAAGAATGACCTCACATTTCCCCACAACATTCCAAAGACAGGAAACCTGAGGACCAGGGTGCGCAAGGGGCCAAGCTCTGGTTGCTCAGGTGGCTTCCAGGATGGTTGCTATTTCTGTTATCATGACAGGGAGCCAGACATTCTGTGTTTCCTGGACACTGCTTGGTGTGCCTCAGTTTCCCTCTCCCCTAAAATGAGGGTGGTGACCTGACATAGAGATTATCAGAATTAAAGTGTAAACAAGTCTGAAAAGGGCCCTGGCCAGGTTGCTCAGTTAGGTGGAGCATCATCCTGTATTCCAAAAGGTTGCAGGTTTGATTCCCAGTCAGGATACATACCTATGTTGTGTGTTCAATCCTTTGTCAGGAGACAAACTGATATTTCTGTCTCACATAGATGTTTCTCTCCCTTTCTCTCCTACTCTCTCTTGAAAAATCAATAAACAGATTCCCCAGGTGAGGATTAAAAATAATAAAAATTTTAAAACTGAATACAGAGCAGAAGAGCAGCATACACATGACAACGATGGGGAGAGAAGCCTCATGTTTCAATGAACACCTGTTTAGTGCCTGCGACATACTATTTCTTGTTTCCTGTGGTTTACAAGCTCAACCTTGTCTTACAGCCTTAAATGAAACTCAGGGCCAAGGCAAAATGCATTTCTCTTGTCTCTGCGTCTTCCCTTGATGACCTTGACTATGCATTCTGATTCTGCCTCATCCCCCTTCTGCTGTGTTTACCTCACTGCAGTATTCAGGATGGGAGTTATCTCTGTGCAGAGGATCGTGGGCATAAAACAGGGGATGGCACTCAGGACATCTAGATACGTGTTTTATGAATTAATTAATAAAGGAACATCGATGATATCTGGCATTGCAGTCAGTGGTCAATAGGCGTTTTTTATGAGTCTGTTTTCTGGGTCCTAGGCGACTGGGATTAAAATCTTGTTTTTGGTCTCCCCCACCTCCAACCTTTGAAGAGAGAATGCCTCTCAGTAAGATAAGGAAGAATTTGACTTCGTGGTGGGAACTCGGCCTTTTCCACCCTCCGAACGGATGCAGGTCCGGCCGGCTCTCTGTAGGTTCCTGTCCACTAGTCGGGAGGCTCCGATCCTTTTCGCCAAAGCCGGGAGCCTACATCAGTCCAACCCTTCCTCTTGGACCCTGACACACTCCCTTACCGGGCCCCGCCCACTCGGGCTAGCACCGCTGCCCCGGAAGCGAGTCCTCCAGGACCAAAAGCACAAAAGCGAAAAGGCACAATCGCGCTTGGCTGGGTACACACCACGTCCGGAGCTCCAGGGAGGACGTCGGATCTCCTGCCGGGGCGACCGTTTTTGAACTGTCCACCGCGGATCTCGTTGACCTAACCAAGTCCGCTGCCTGCACCGGTGGGGACTGCGCCTGCGCAGCCAGGCGACGGGGCCACCTACCAGAGAGCCGCGAGCTCGCCCAGTTACTCCAGGCTGGCCCCTCCCAGGACTGTGGAACCGCTGTAGCAAGGTCGGAATCCGAGAACGACTTCGTCACCTTCCGTCTGTCTCAACAGTATTGCCCCGGACCGGGACCACTTACTGTTACACGGTGGCACAAAGGCTGCGGCCTTCGTGTCATTCAGTCCGAACTACATCACCCACAGGGAGGCGCGCGCGCTTCCCGTGGTTTCCGTGTTCGCCCCACCGGCGGTCGCGGCCTAAGCTGTTAAACTGAGCCCCGAACCTGCTGCCTTGGCGTCACCGTCCCACCCGAAACCTCCCACTGCGCACCCTTCCATCTACTGGCGGGACAAACCGCCGTTGCTGTGGGCCGGGACTGCGCCTGCGCAGGCGTGTATCAAACTACAACTCCCAGAGGGAGGTGCGCGAGCTTCCGGTCGTTTCCCTGTCCTCCCAGGCCAGGACCGCGGCGCCAGCTGTTAGGACGGGACCCGAGCTCTGCTCCTAAAAGCCGCGGGCCTCGGCGTCCCCGACCCCCCTGAAACCTCCCCTTAGACACTCTTTCGTAGAGCGATAGGACGATGGTCACGTCCGCCGTTCGCCGAGACTGCGCCCGCGTTCATTCAACTACAAGCCCCAGATCGCCTTGCGTGGATTCCGTGCGCATTTTCCTCCACCCACCTTCGTATTCCTGACCGGTTTGATTCCTGATACCGTACTTTTGTCCCCTTCATAAATATCCGCGTTTTGTCCGCAGCATGACTGTCCTTGAGGTTGCCGTCCCAGGTCGGAGGATAGACAGACTCACAAATAAAGAGGAGCCAAGAAAGAGGGGATACTGAGAGGAATAAAGGCAAAGTTGATTGTTCCCTGGGTTTCATTCAGGGAACCAGAAAAAGGACGGGTCTCTGTCAGCCGCGACACGCGTCGTTACTTTCCAGTGTACAGAGGCTTCCGGACATTGACGTGATTTTTGCTTCATCATGAAATACAGAAAGCACATCGCAACACTTATTTTCATTTCGTCCCAAGAAGGGGTATTTGAAAATGTGGCCTGTTTGAAATCCCCGCTGAAGTTGGAAGACCCTGTGAGGCCCATCGCGCCGTCGCATTTTCTTCGGGAAATGTAGTCCACAGCGTTGGGTAATTGGGGGCCCGGTGGCTGTCACAATGGACTACAACTCCCAAGAGGCTTTGCCTATACGGAACACCCACATTCCGTTGCCGCCCACTGCGTCCCTCTGTTGGGAACGACCGAGGAACTGGTACCGCGGAGCCTTTCCGGGGAAGTGGTAGGAGCCTCAGGGTGTTGGGAATCGCCATCTGGTGGACACAGTTAATGTAAACACGATTTCCTGTAACTCTTGGAATTCTCAAACCCAGGATTCCTGGACACTGCGGAGACGCCGACCGCGTCCTTCTGATTGTCGGGGCGCCCGCTCAACGGTAGCCCTTGGGAATTATAGTGAAAGAAACACTTATAAGTGCGGCCTCGGACTGGCTGGGGAGCCGACTCTACCAGCGGCCGCTCCGGCTCAGAATCGGGCCGTCCACTGCTTGTTTCCTAGGTGAGGAAGGGCACCCGTGCCTCGGAGACGCGTTTGAGAAGTAGAACCAGGCTCTAGGTGGCTAACTGCGCCACCTGGTGGACAACGTTAGTGTAACCATGATTCCTTAAAACTCCGGGAATTTTAAAAACCTAGATTTCTCAGACTCTGCAGGGCTGCCCACCGCGCCCTTCCGCAGGTCGGAACGCACACCCCAGTAGCCTCTTGGAAATAATGAGGAAAAAATGTTCGAAGTGTGACGTACATCAAGCGCGAGAGCCTGGACTTCAACTCCCAGAGGGCGTTGGACTTGAACTCTCAGAACGCGTTGCTCCCAGGTGAGTAGGATTGTCTGTGGCTGTCCACTGCCTCCTTCTCTTGTAAGGATCACAGTACTTCGTAGCATTTGGGTTGCAGTAGAAGGCTCTAGTTGTCGGAGTTTGCCACCTGGTGGACAATGTTTGCGTAGTCATGATTTTCTATAACTTTGATTCTGCCTAGCCGTCCACCTGCGCCCTTCTGCAGGTTCAAGACGCCTACTCAAATATAGCCTCTGGAAATTATATATAGAGAGGGGTGTTTCAGTGAGCCTTCGTCCTTCCTGAGAGTCCCAGAAGGCCCTGTCCCCAGCACACTGGCCACCTAGGTGGATACACACACCACTGGCTCTGCCTGGGAAATGCAGTTGGACTCAATAGTGAGGATGCTGGTACTTTAAAACTTGACATGTTAATTTATTGAATCCTGTTATAGCTTCAGAATGGCTTTACTCAAACCACTACAAAAAAACAAACCTTCTGAAAATATTTCAGGATTTTTTGCTCTTCCCTTAACCACCACTACCACCCTGCTCAAGACATGGTAAAGCTCCTAAGCGGAGGATTTCTTCAACAGACAAAATAGCCAGATGTTCCCATTCATTCTTAGGGGAAGCTGGATTGGCCCAGGCATTAGCAGCGATGGGTGTGTGCTGAGGGTCTCAACTACTATCCAAAAGGGCAGGCACAGGGAACATTGACCAAAAAAAAAAAAAAAAAATTGCAAATGAGAGATATCAGAGGGTGGCCCGAGTCTCACCAATGGTATTGGGAAAGCTGGAAAGTGTACAGAGCACGGGGTGCTGAACCAGGACTCAAAGGGATGTAAGATATCTGGAGGGCAAGGGGCTGACCCAGGTGGGCTGACAGAAAGAACGGGCAGAGTTTATGGGGTAGGGAAAGGTAAATCACATATATAGAAATCTGGTATTTCATGAGAAGAAATGCTTGAAGACCATTATAAGCTGACTTGCGACTTCCTTAACCCCAAATACACATGTTGAAGTCCAAACCCCCAATGTGACTGTATTTGGAGATAGGGCCTTTATGGAGGTAATTAAGGTCAATTAGGGCCGTAAGATGGGGCCCTCATCCCACCGGGGTCAGAGAAGGTAACCCCCAACGTTAGTCTTCTGAGAGTGAAAGTGCTTAAACCAAGCAAACAAATAATGATCGTTGTGTGTACTAGTCTCTGGAAAGAGTTCCTTGAAAAAGATTCATGTGTCAGAGATGGAGGATATGTGGGCATTAACTAGTGACAGGAAGAGGGAACAGTCCCTTACTAAGCAGAAAGGCCATTTCTACAGTCCCTGAGGAGGGCAGCATGTTATGTGTTTAGAGCAGGACCCTCGTAATATAGATGATACAAGAGTCAGCCTCATCACCCCCACCCCAAAGATTTGGACTCATTTGTTGGCATGCAAGGCCCAAGAGTCTGCATTTATAACCAACAACCCAGGTGATTTTGATGACAAAAGTCATTTGACTCACTGTGAAAGACACTCATTCAGAAAAAACAAACAAGGTCTATGTGGCTGGCACATAGACACCTGGGGTAGAGTGAGACCCAGAGGCAGGCAAATGCCCAATCTTTCAGCACTTTGTCTGTCATAGTGAGGGTCTTCTCTTTATCTCAAGATTGGTAGGAACCACTGGAATGTATGAGGCAAGAGTGACCCAATTGTATTTGTATTAAAAAAATATATATCTCACACAGTGTTATTAGTTACTATTGCTGTGCCGCAATAGTCATCGATGGCGAGTCACTATTTAAGGGTCATGGTTGTTGTGGAAACTGCTTTTAGAGGATTCAGGGTCCCATGAAATACTATGGACCTTCAAGTTAAATTATATATATATAAAAAAAAAAAAGCTTATTCAACATCAGGAGAATCAATTTAAAAAATGCTTGAAGAACAGATTGATTTGTACATTTCACAGATGACTAAATCTTGCAAAATATAAGGTTCAAACTGGCAGTCCTATTGCTTATGAAACAGAACTCAGGAAAAATCTTGATCTTTTTGTGCAATGGTACCATCTGTCCAGTGCCTGTGAGTCCTGTAAAGAAATTTATAACCAGAAGAGAGCAGCAAAAGCTATTGCAGAACCTGGAATGCTCCATGGAAGTTAAATTTCAAGACTTCCTATATACAATCTCTCCAATGACATTGCTTATAAGTCTTAATTTATTGCAAAATAATGCAGATAACTAATTTAAAATCTGTTTATAGTACACTGATACTTTGTCATATGGCATTCAAATCTGCAAGACTGGTTGCCGTATACCTTGATCAAATGATTTACACATAGATCAGAAAACTTTGTACTGAGACAGGTGAGTGTATGCATAGTGATTCCATACGGATGCCACTCACATGTGTGGAATATTCTGCCATATTGTTTTTATGGAATATCAGCATTAATCTTTACCATATATAAGCACTTCTCCCCACTCAAGGTAATATGAACTAATGATAAAGTTGGACTGCACTTGGTTCTGTTACATGAACACCATTTGTTGGGATTCTCACTATTTTGAAAATCTAAAGTTTGAAGTCTGTTGAATCTTTAGAAGTCATGCCGAAATCCAGTATACTTTCCCACTTCTCTTTTTTTCTTTATAAAATCTTACCTGAGGACATTTTTTTCATTGGTTTCACAGAGAGAGGAAGGGACAGAGGAAAGAAGAGAAACATCGACTGCCTCCCATCTATACCTGGACCAGGGATCAGATGCACAAACTAGGTATGTGCCCTGACTGGGAACTGAACCTGCAATCTTTCATCTATGGAATGATACTCCAACCAAGCCACATGGGCCAGGATTTATTACCTTTCCTTTTCTGGGTTCTATAATAAGAGCGTTGATGAACACTCACATCTGAAGGTTCTCCACATTGATCATCTCCACATCCCCTACTGTTAGGATAATCTGAGGAGTGTACTGTGTGTGAAGGCATGTGTATAAATGTCTGTCATCTTTCTCATGAGCATGATTGGGTCAAGTGTTGGAAGGGATGAACTATGGCTTAAAGCTTCCTATGTTCCAATTCGTATAGAGTGCTTCTACCCAGTATGAGTTCTCTGGTGTTTGGTTAAGGAGGAGCTGTGTGTGAATGCTTTCCCGCAGTCACTGCACTCGTACGGCTTCTCGCCGGTGTGGATTCTCCGGTGCTGAGTGAGATGAGTGCTCTGCCTGAAGGATTTGCCACAATCTGGACATTCATATGGCTTTTCCCCAGTGTGTGTCCTCTCATGCTGGCTGAGCGATGAGCTGTGACTGAAGGACTTCCCACATTCGTTGCACACGTAGGGCTTTTCATTGGTGTGGATCCTCTGGTGCTCTATGAGTAGGGAGCTCTGGCTGAAGGCTCTACCACACTCATTACACTCATATGGCTTCTCTCCCGTGTGGATTCTCTGATGCTGAATGAGTGGAGAGAGCTGGCTGAAGGCCCTGCCACATTCGTTACACTCATAGGGCTTCTCCCCGGTGTGAATTCGCTGGTGTTTCATTAGGGATGAGCTGTGGCTGAAGGCCCTGCCACAGTCACTGCACTCATAGGGTTTCTCCCCTGTGTGGATCCTCTGATGTTGACTGAGGTGTGTGCTCTGCCGGAAGGCCTTGCCGCACTGACTGCACTCATAGGGCTTCTCTCCTGTGTGTGTCCGTTCGTGTTGGCTGAGAGATGAGCTGTGGCTGAAAGTTTTTCCACACTCATTGCACCCATAGGGCTTCTCCCCAGTGTGAATCCTCCGATGCTCAGTCAGGAGTGTGCTCTGGCTGAAGGCCTTCCCACACTCATTGCACTCATAGGGCTTCTCTCCTGTGTGTGTCCTCTGATGCTGAATAAGTGGTGTGATCTGGGTGAAGGCTTTTCCACACTCATGACACTTATAGGGCTTCTCACCAGTGTGGATTCGCTGGTGCTTAGTCAAGGATGAGCTGTGGCTGAAGGCCTTGCCACACTCTGCACACTGATAGGGCTTCTCCCCTGTGTGTATGCGCAGATGCTGGGTAAGGTGAATACTTTGCCGGAAGGCCTTCCCACATTCACTACACTCATAAGGCTTCTCGCCTGTGTGAGTCCGCTCGTGTTGGCTGAAGGAGGACCTAAAACTGAAGGACTTCCCACACTCTCTGCACTCGTATGGCTTCTCACCCGTGTGAGTTCTCTGGTGCTGAATCAGTGGGGCAATTTGGTTGAAGGTCCTCCCACACTGAGTGCACTTATAGGGTTTCTCACCAGTGTGGATTCTCTGATGTTTGGTAAGTGCCGAGCTGTTTCGGAAGCTTTTTCTGCATTCATTACATTCGTAAGGTCTCTCTCCTGTGTGTGTTCGGTGGTGTTCAACGAGTACGGAGCTGTGACTAAAGGATTTTCCACATTCCTGACATCTGTAGGGTTTCTCTGTTGCATAGGTTCTCTGTTGCACATTAAACTTTGAGTCGGGATTCTCCCTTTTTCTGTGCATTCCCCATGTGTGAGAGCTTCGTCCTTCAGAAGTCATGGGTTGAATAGGGAGATTGGGGCTCGGACTTAATTTTTTCCCAATTCCAGTACCTGGCTGCTGCTCCTGAATGGATGTCTTCACAGGTGTGAAGGCAGCCTGAACCACAGTGCCATCAAGATTCTCACAACTCTGTTCCCCGCGGCCCTCAGTGTCTTCACCCTTAGAGCCACACAGACCATTGCACAGGAACCTTTCTACCAGGACATAATAGTATAGTTCTTCAGAGATGTCTTCCTTTGCAGCTGAGTGTTGGGGTTTCCATCTAGATTCCAAGTCTGAAAAAAACAAAAATGGAATTGTCCCTCAATCCCTATCCAGGCAGAAAAGTTTGTCTGTGGATAGGTGGATGGCAGAATTAAAGCAAAAGATTTAAGATACAAATAGCATTGACCATTTAACCATATGGCTTTACAAACCACAGAAGGAACAGAAGAGGGAGGGAAGGTACAGAGAACAGGGGAGCAGAATTGGTATAAGGGGTAGAGATGGAGTTGACAAGGGGGCGCTGGAGAAGATGCTGAGGAAAGAGTGAACCTTCACAGAAAATGTCACCAGATGCCCAGGCTGGGAAGGAGCTGAGTGGTGGTCAGGGCCCAGTCAACACAGCATCCATCACACCAGGTGGTGATGGAGGGAAGGATCCCATGTGGGAAGGACCACTCAGCCCTGCTGTTGCTCAGAACTAGTCTCTTCTTAAGGTCCCTCATTATTGTATCACCTCGCCCTAGATGTAAAGAAACCCATCAGCTCCTCATATTGGAAACTGCTAAACCATCACCAGGAGAATCAACAAATGACTGTGGTATATTATAGCCCTTTAAGCTGGTTTACTCTGTGTCTCACTCGCTGGGAGGATGCCAGAGCAGGGCCTTTGCTCACCCACAATGCTTTACCAGTGTACCTCCACCCACAACAGGGGTCAACAGATGTGCTAAATGAAAAACACATGCAGTCCCTTGCCTTTCTTCCTGATAGGATGGCCATTTTGCCCTGGTACCCAGCCACCAACCCAACATTGGACTGGTGTAAAGGTGTGATATGGGCACCTTTCCCACTTATGTCACACTTCAGTGAGTTAAGGGGGAGAAAACAGTCCAGTCAGGTGTAGTTGCCAGAATAGTGTCTCAGAAAGAACCTAAGCCCTGAACCTGGGAGTATGCTATGACCTTGTATGTGAACAAGGAGTTACAGTTGCTAATCATTTATTAGCCCATCACTGAGGTTACCTCAGATTTTCGAGGTGGCCCCCTTGTAACCACAGGGTTTTTAAATGTGAAAGGGGCAGGAGAGTCAGGGTCAGGGTGACCTGATATATTAAGATCTGACCAGCTACTGCTGACAGTGAAGATGGACAAGGCCATGTGTCCAGGAATATCCCTCAAGACGTTGGACAGCAAACAAAAATGGATTCTCCCCAGACACTCCAGAAGGAACGCTGTCCTGCTGACCCCTGAATGCAGCCCAGTCAGACCCATTTTGGACTTGGTTTTTCTAGAACTGTAAGATCATTTATTTTGCTTCAAATACTGCATTTGTGGTAATTTTTTTACAGTGGCAACAGGAGACTAATTATATTGGGCAAACGCTGGTTATTATTATTTTTATATTTTTCGTTTATTCATTTGTTTGTGTTTGTTTAGAGAGGAGAACAGAAAAAGAAAGAAAAGGTAGAGAAACATCAGTTGGTAGCCTTTTATAGCCTTTTATAGACAATCCACAAAAGGCATATGCCCCGAGTGAGGGTTGCACCAGAGATGACTTCCAACCAACCGAGCCACTCTGGACAGGGCTGAAGGCTAGTTTTATTTGAGGAGGAGAAACCCTCCTGTGGTCTCCCTCCCACAAACTGTCCATCCTTCCTGGACACTGGCAAGGAGCCACTGCTTACATGGAGTCATGGCCTGACACCAGTGGGAACAGCCTGCTAGAGGGCTAGGACACCCTCACTTCTTACAGAGCTGCCTGCAGGTCTTGGGAGCTGGACAGCAGGTATGAAGAGCAGAACTACTCAGCCAACCGACAGGAACATACATGAGCTGGGCCAAGAGCCATGACACACAGATGCCTGAGTCGTAGTGAGCCTCTTTTTAAAGCACTGAGCCTGGAGCATCTGTTACTCAGTAAGAGACCTGCACCCTCCAATGCCTCTGCACCTGCTGTTTCCTCCTCCTGGATTCTGTCCTCCCAGATCATTTCATGGAGGCCCTATTCTCAGGGTTCAGGCTTCAGCTTCCGTGTAACCTCAGCTCCCTCATCTCTCTGCTGAAGTTCTCCCCCCAGTTCTAGTCTCTACCTCCTCACCTGCTTTCACTTTCTCAGCATTCATCATAATCTATAACCATCCTATTCACTCTTTTTATTACAGTTTTAGTTTTTTGTTGTGTGCCCCTCTCCCTCACCAAGAATGTAAATTCAGGGAAGACAGGAACTTGTTTTCACTTATGGGAGAATGGTGATTAGTCAATGTTCACTAACAAATGAGTAGTCAGTTTGCTCTGAAGAATCTATCAGATATGGAGAGAGACCTAGGGTGGTGAGTGGGGTCCTCCCAGTCCTGCACACTCTCATCTCACCTGGACATACACCTTGTGGAACTGCTTCATCCACAGGCCACAGCTCCACCTCCTCCAACAGGGAGATGTTGGGGGGCTTTGGGAGCCAAAATCCTGCTCAGGGGGAGACCCAGGGAGTGAGCATTTATGTCCCAGGACCCTTCCCAATCCTCTGCTCACTTTCCTTCAGCCTTCTAGGACCCAAGTCGCTGGTAACCTCAGAAACCAGAGTTCCCTGTGGTATTAGACTTTAGTGTCCTTGTACTGTGAGTCCCTGACTCCATCCCTAGCTTTGTGGGGGGCATGTGACTCCAGTGTGGCCACCCAGAGAGAGGTCTTCTTCCACTGCCCAGCTGCAACAATGACCAGTGTGGTGAGGACTACACGGCTGAATCAAGATGGGAGTACCCTTCTGTGAATGGTAGCAGAAAGAGGTACAGAGGAAGGAAGTGAGGAAGAAGGGGGGCTCCTGAGACCAATAGAGGAAGACCCAGTTCTTGCCTGGGATTCTGCAGTTCTGGGACCCAAGGTGTCCCTCTGACCTGAGATGTCCTGCCTCTGGCATTTTCAGGCAGGATCTGTAACTTGCAGGAAAAACACCCTCACTGATAATCCCTAAGTCAAAACAGTCTGGTCCCTCAGGCCCAATACACATCTGAGTTATCTGCATTGAATGCCTAGACATACCCCTACTTTTTAGCCAGGAGAATTAGAGTCCATACCAGGGGAGACCAGGGGCACATGGGTATGGCCTTACCCACAGAGAGTAGGAGCCCAAAGGTCTCCAGCATCACACTGCAGTACAGGGTCCTCTGTGCGGGCTCCAGCTGCCCCCACTCCTCCTGGGTGAAGTCCACAACCACGTCCTCAAAGGTCACTTGCTCCTGGAACATCACACAGGAGTTTCCTGAGTCAGAGCAAGCCTGGCACTGGCTGCTAATGGGAGCAGCTGGAGATGTGAGACAAGGACAAACTGGTTCTCTCAAGTCTGGGAGGCTGGATTGTGAGGGTGGTGGTGCACTCACCGGGAGCCCTGCATCCAGGAGCCCAGCAGTCATTCCCTCCTCCTCTGGTCTCTCGAAGGAAATCGGCTTGTCTCCTGGCAGCTCTGGGGGGGAAGGGGATGTGAGACACTACGCCAGCAACAGTGGTGACTGGAGACCCCAACTGGAGGCGTTGGAACTAGGAGGTAGAAGGAGCTGCTGCCGCCAGAGCCTGGAGCCCAGCACCCAGGCCAAACTCAACAGCAGCATCCCTCAGCTTGGTATTTCCCAAGTGCCTGCCGTGGGCGAGTGCTGGTCCAGGCACTGTCAAAGAATGATCTCAGAGTTACCCATGACATTCCAAAGAAGGAAAAACAGGACCAGGATTGGCAAGGGACATATTCCTGGTTGCAGATGACTTCCAGGGTGTTGAGTATTTTTGTATCATGACAGGAAGCCAGACAGTTCCCTGGTGTGCCTCAGTTTCCCTCTCCTCTCAAATGAGGGTGGTGACCCAACGTGGCGATTACATGAATTAAAGTGTGAGAAAGTGAAAAAAGAGCAGAATAGCAGTTTACACAGGACAGTGTCTGTTGCTGGGAAGGAAGCCTCGCCTATCAGTGAGCACCTATTTAGCATCTAAGACATACTATTATGTGTTCCCTGTGGTTTACAAGCTCAACTTTGTCTGATTGCCCAAAATGAAACTCAGGCGCAAGGTAGGATGCATTTCTCTTGTCGCTGCATCTTCCCTTGATGACTGACTATACATCCTGATTCTGCGTCTTCCCGTTTGTGCTGTGTTGTCCTAACTGCACCATTCAGGATGGCAGTTTTCTCTGTGCAGAGGCTCGTGGCAATAGAACAGGGCCTGGCACTAAGGACATCTAAATACTGTTTGATGAGTTAATAAAGAAGCATGCGGTCAGTGCTCAGTAACTGTCATATAATGAGTCTGTTTTCTGGGTCCTAAGTGACTGAGATTAAAATTCTGTGTTTTTGGTCTCCTCCATTAGGAGGAGAAGGCTCCCGAGGAAGGCGAGGCTGCATTTGACTCCGTGGTGGGACCTAGGCATTCCCCACTCGGAATCCCGACCGTCCACATCACAGCAGGCAACGGATGCAGGTCCGGCTGGCTCCATTTTCTGAAGCGGCGGGCCGGCTATCTCTCCGACTGTGCCCCCAAGAGACAGAAGACTCTGACCACTGGCGCCAAGGACAGGACCTCACCAACCCTCTTCTCTGACCCTGGAACCCCCAACTCTTTACCCGGCCCCGCCCACTCGGCCCTGCCCCGCCTCCCCAGATGACAGCCGCCGTGGGCCCCAAGGAACAAAACGGACTTGTCACAGTCACGCGCGGTTGGGTACACACCAGTGCCGGAGACCCAGAGAGGACGCCGGATCCCCTCCTAGCTCGACCTCCGCCGACCTGGCCACCCCCGATCTCGCTTACGGGCAGAACGATAGCACAAAGGCCTCTCCGCCACCAGCCAGGACTGCGCCTGTGCCAGTAGTCGGCGAACTACAGCTCCCAGAGGGTGGCGCGCTCATATCCGGTTACTCTAATCGCCCCGCCCCCACATGGGACGCCGGAAGAGCACCGGCAAGGTCAGAGCGCGAGATTGGCCTCGTGGACTCAGCTGGTCCACCACGCCCGGGACCACTCACCGTTAGATGGCGTCACAAAGGCCGCGGCCATCGTGTCAGCGGGGCTCGAACTGCATCCCCCAGAGGGCGTTGCGCCCGCTTCCGGTGGCTTCGGTGTTGGCCCCGCCCAGGGCCGCCGCCTTCTCCGGTAGACGCCTCCAGCTCTGACTCCAGTGTCTGGTTAGTGGGCCGGACGGAGGTCACGTACCCCATTGTTCGCTGAGACTGAGTCTTCTCCGGCGGGCACCGAACGATAACTCCGGGAGGGCCTCGCGAGAGCTCCGTCCGCAGCTTCTCCCTGTTGTGGGAGTGTTTGGGACCGAATTCTAGTCCTGGCAGCACTGCTCATGTCTTCATGAAATTCGCTTTCTGCCCGCAGCATGGTGGTTCTTGCAGTTGTCGCCCGACCCTGGAAGAGCGAGAGACATAAAGAGGATGAAGGGTGCCAAAAAGGGGGCGGGGGGAATGAGAGGTATGGGGGGACAGTTTGATTTTTCCTTGGATTTCATCCCTGGAAACAGAAAAGAGACGGGTTACAGTGGGGTACTACTATAAGCTTCCCTCACAAAGTGCAGAGACTCCGGGCCGGGACATAACATTTGAGTATTTTTCGAATATAGAGAAAACTCACGACATTTATTTTAATACGATACAGAATTGTATTAGTGTAGGTGGCATATTTGAAATCTTCGCTGACGTCTGAAGACCAGGGGAGACGCCCCAGGCCTCCGGGTGGCCGCATGGCCTTCTGGGAGGTGTCCGCCGCTCCGCGGGGCAGTGCCCAGTCCCGTCACAGTGGACCACAGCTCCCAGGAGGCTTAGCGCCTTCGTTTTGTCGCTTTATCTGAAACCGCTCCGCTCCCTCCCCCCGCAGTGAGGGACACCCCTTGCCTCGGAGCCCTCGGGGAGAAGTGTACGGGCCACTAGGTGTCCGAGATCCTCGCTTGGCAGAGGCTGGTGTAACCATCAGTCCCTGCAACCCCTAATTCTCAACCCCAGGTTTTACAGACTCTGCGGAGTCTCCGACGCCACCTTTGCAGAGTTCAGGATTCCTGCCCAACGGTAGCCTTTAGGAATTAAAGTAGGAAAAAGCCTTCTCAGTGCTGCCTAACAGTTGAGAGGGGAGCTTGGACTACAAGTCCCGGAAGGCCCTGTGTCCAGTCCAGGCCCGATCGTGGACTCCCCCTGGATCGACATCCGCACTGTCACACTTTCTGAGGAAAGCAGTCTTGCTCTCTTGGCACTCAGTTGCCCAGACCGCCCCCTGACCGGCCTGGCGTAGGGCTGAGGCCCTAGGCCTGCAATTCACGGTGGCCTACGTGCACGCGGCTTCCTTGGGATGCTGCAGCGACCCCGGCTGCACGCCCCCATTGGCCCGGAGGCCTCGCCGCGGGGCCTTCTGGTCACCGTAGTTGCACCTCCGTCCTGGTCGTGCGGTGGGCTCCTCTCTAGAGGAATGTCGGTTGCTCTGCGCGCCGGGAACCCTCTGCCCCAGAACTCACTCCGGCTGGGACGCGCCACGTCCTCCTGGAACCCTTCCCGCCGAGGAGCCGGAGCGGTCGGTCTCCAGGTCTGAGGGGAAGTGTGGAGGGCTGTCCTCACGGGTTTCCTCACACACTTGTCTGGGCTTTCACCCCGCAGTTCATGGAGACGATTGCCGCGGGGCTCCCAGGTGCCCGTCCTTGGGTGAGTGGCCACGTCAGCTTGCTGCTGACTAGCTTGACTTGGGGAGTCTGCGTTTGTTCCCCACAGCTAGGTGGGCGTGGCTCTCCAAGGTGGAACCTTGCCTGTCACCCCCGCCCTTCCTCTGAACATCCTTTCAGCCTCAGCCTGTCACTCTGGCCACAGAGGGAAACAAGAGGCAGTAAATCCGAGTCATAGGGCCCTTAAAGGGACCAACAAAGTAACCTTATAACCCTTTAAGAGCGAGTCCCAAAAGCTGCGGACCCAGAGGGCTTCAGCTACCGTACATTTAAGGAAGGAACAATTCCTGTCTTTCCATCACCTGCAATAATTTGTCTGGAAGAGGGAACATTTCTCCCCACTTGTTTACATATGAACTGGTTGATTCTTTAAAAAAAATTATTCATTGATTTTTAGTGAAGAAGGGAGAGAGAGAGAAACATGAATTTGTTGTTCCACTTATTTTTGCATTCGTAGGTTGCTTCTTGCATGTGCCCCCTGCTGGGATCTATCCGAAACTTTGGCGTATCTAGACGAACCTCTTACCCAACTGAGCTAAGGGGTCAGGACGTCCCAATTTTTTTTTTTTTTTCGTTTTTAATTCTCCCCCAAGGAAATGTTTATTGATTTTAGAGAGAGGAAGCGAGAGAGATTGCGCGCGCTGGCGAACACTTGCAACATCAATGTGAGAGAAATAGAGTTGCGTTGTCTCCCACACGCTATTCTACAGGGGATCAAATCGGCAGCCTAGGCGTGTGCCCTGACGGATCCAGCCGGCAGCCTTCTCGTGTACAGGAAGCTGCTCCAACCAACTGGGCTCTCCAGCCAGGGCAATCTTAATGGGTTTTAATGATGCCAGCATAATTGTGATTCCAAAACCTGGACACATTGGGGGGGAAAAAATGAAACAAACAAAAGTCCCCAGGAATTAAGAACATCTTCCTTAGACTGTTGTAAGGAGTAAGTGACTTTCCAGGAATTGGGGTGCTTACTTAGGACAGCCACCAGCCTGGAAAACCCTTGACAAATATTTACATTGTCATCAGCAGATATTAACACTCATTTTTTTATTCTTGGTAGTATAAAAAGGAAGGGAACTGTACATTTTAATCTTGTGGAAGATCCTACTTCTTAAGAAGTAGGAGGGATTTTTAGGGGTCATATTTTCAGCCTTATGGGGATCTCCTCTGAAATGGCTGACCCCAGGTGCCTCCAGGAAGGCTCCAGTGTATCCCTGAGAAGTAAGATCCTTTTTTTTATTTTCATTTTTATTTTATTGATTTTAGAGAGGGAACAAGAGAGCGAGAACGTGGATGCAGGAAAGAATCAATCAGTTGCCTCTTGCATGCATCCCAACTAGGAATTGAACCTGTGGCCTTTCAGTGTGTGGGATGACGTTCTAACCACCCGACCAGAGCAAGCAAAATTCTTTCAGGGCAGCCCCCTGTGCACCTGGTCCTTCCTCACATTCCTTGTACTCCTCTCTTCCCTTCACGGAGCTTTGCAGACATAAGGGTTTTGGCTCAGCAAATGTTTGGGTGACATTTCAGGTAACTTTTGATGTTATGGCTGTGAACTTCATCCTGGAAGAGTGGGAGCTTCTGGGTCCTGCCCAGAGGACCCGGTATCGCAAACTGATACTGGAGACCTTTAAACATCTGGTCACTGTGGGTGAGGCTGTGCCCTGTTTTCACTTCTGTGTGGGGTCACTGAAGCCTAGGAGGGTTGCTCCCTTTCCAAAGGCCCACAGCCTGATCTCTCTCAGGCAGGGCCTGGTATCCCCCATGCAGATGTTGTGGCCCTGCTAGATCTTGGAGGAGAGCCCTGGATGCAAGGCAGAGGTCTCTCCCAACATTCCCGCTCAGGTGAGATGGGAAAAAGGTCGTTAAAGTCAGTATTTGTGTTTTCCTTCATATGTACCATTTCTTGTACTTTTCATTATCTTTGGCAAACCCGTATTTCCACCTGGAATCACTTTCTTTAGCCTGAGGGCTCCCTTTATCATTTCCTTTAGAATGACAAAATTGACCCCACTTTCTGTTTGCCCGAAAATACGTTTACCTCATCTTCATTTTAGAAAGATACTTTAGTCAGGGAATAGTAGGTTGGCAATTTTTTTTCAGCACTTTAAAGACACCATCTGTTGTCTTCTGAACCCCATAATTTATAAGAAGTCAATCTTCCATCTTATTGTTATTTTGAAGACAATGGATCTTTTATTTTTTTAATGTTTTTTTATTTTTAATTCTTTAAAAATGTAATCTTTGTTGTATTTTTTCCATTACCATTATTCGCCTTATACCCCCTACTCCCTCTTTTTTTCATTTTTTTCAATCCTCACCTGGGGACTTTTTTCATCACTTTCAGATAGAGCGGAAGGGAGAGAGAAAAACATTGATGTGAGAGAGAAACATGGATCGGTTGCCTCCCACATGTGCCCTGACCAGGGATGGAATCTGCAAGCTGGTGGTGTGTGGGAAAATGCTTCAGGTTCCAACCACCTGAGCCACAGTGGCCAGAGCTATGAACATTCTTGTACAATGCTTTCAGTGGACCTATTGTTTTTATTTCTCTCAGGTAAATATCTAGGAGTGGAATTGCTGACTCACAGATTAACATGGTTTCCTTTTATTAATTTTTTCTTTTACAGTTAGTTTCTTTTGTAACATGCTAAGAAATCTTTCACTATGCCAAAATCACAAAGCTGTTCTCCTATTGTCTTCTGATTCTTTTATACTTTTTTTGCTTTCACATTAAGACTCATGATTCACCTTGAGTTCATTTTTGTGTAAGTGGGAGGTTGTAATGAAGACATTTCTTTTTTCTTGTGGGTATCCATTTTTTGAAACACTCTTTATTGAAAAACTTTCTTTTATTGTATTAGACTGAAGCCTGTTAAAAAAATTGAAAAAATATTTTTTAAGTCAGTTGAATGTATACTTGTAGATCTGTCTCTCTGCTCTTTTCACTTCCACTGACCCACTTTTTTCCAGCCCTGTGTCAACACCATATGTCTTCATTATTGTAGCTTCACAGTAAATTTTGAAATGAGGTAGTGAAGTCAACATCTAATTTTATTGTTTATATTCAATAATTGTCTTTGCTCCACTAGGTCTTTGGCACTTTCATATTTATTTTAGAATTAGCTTGTCAATTGGAAATTATCAAATTGTAAATCCACATTTCTACTTGATTTTTGACTTTTTTGCCTTAAATTTATAGATCAGCTTGGGAAGAATTTACATCTTAACATGTTGAGCCTTCTAATTTTATGATCATGGTATATTTATATGGGGACTTCAGCTTCTCTCAGCAATATTTTGCAGTTTTTAGGTATAGAGGTCTTGCACAACTTTTAATTAAATTTATTCTTAGGCATTTGATATTTTTGATGTTATTATAAATACTATTGGTCCTTAATTTCAGTTTCTAATTGTTGTTAGTGCACATAAATAGAATTTATTTTTAATCTTCTATCCTGTGAACTTGCTAAAATCACTTACATGAGGCAGTATTTGTCATTCTTCTTGGACTTTTTGCACAGTCATATTATCTGTAAATGAAGATAGCTTTATTTCTTCCCTTTCCAATCTTTATGCTTTTCTATTTTATTATACTGGCTAGGACCACTTACTCCTTTTTAAAAAAAAATTGATGTATTGTTCACATACAGTGAAACATGCTGTTCTTAATCACATAATCCAATAGTTTTACAACTTTGTATGTGTGTGACCCATACTCCAGTCCATACAGAGAATATTTCCATCTCCTGGAACAGGGCCTTTATGCCCCTTTCTAGTTAATACTCCCTCGCGTCATGGCAACTGTTGTTCTGATACCTGCACCATAGATTATCTGGTGCAATATTGAATAAAAATGATGAGAATGGACATTCTTGCCTTGCTCCTGATATTAAGGAATAGCACTCAGTGTGTCACCATTAAATATGATTCAATACCCTTTAGCAGATTGAGAAAGTCTTATTTCTGATTTGCTGAGTTTTTATAAGGAATTGGTATTGTACTTTACCAAATGCCCTATATGCATCTGTTGATGTGACCAGATTTTTTTCCTCCTTTTTTTCCATTGGTTTCTTCATTATTATTGTAATAAATAAGTTATTTATTATTTTAAATATGTTTTTTATTTTATTTCATATTTTAATTATGAAATAGAGATAGAAGTTTAGGTCACTAATTTTTTAAAAGATCTTATTTATTTATTTTTAGAGAGATGGGAAAGGAGGGACAGAGAGAAAGAAACATTGATGTCTGAGAGATGCATGGGTTGGTTGTCTCTTGCGCGCCCCCAACTGGGGACCTGGCTCACAACCCAGGCATGTGCCCTCACTGGGAATCCAACCAGCGACCTTTCAGTTCACAGGCCGGTACTCGTTCCACTGAACCATGCCAGCCAGGGCTTAGCTCACTAGTTTTAATCTTTCCTTTCTAATGTTTATATTTATAGCTACATATTTTCCTTTAAGTCTTACTTTAACTGCACCCTGCACATTTTCATATGCAGTATTTAGCAATAGTGAAAATACAACATATGAAACTGATTTCTGGATTCATGAAGAGCGTTGTTTAATTTCCAAATATGAGAAGAATTCTGTTATGGATGTGTAGATTAACTTCACTGTGGCCAAAGAATCTCATATGTCTGAATTGTTCGGTTAAATTTATTGAGAAATGTTTTTATGACATAGCATATGGTCTGTTGTGATAAATGTGTTGGGCACAATGTTCAATTAATGTCAGTTCAGTTATGGTTTTGTGTTGCACACACGTTATTCTTACGTATTCTCTTGTCTGGTGGTTCCATCAGCTACTTACAAAAGAGTGTTAAATCTCCAACTATGACTAGACTTGTATATCTATGTTTTATTTTTTCAATTTTTTTCTTCGTGTATTTTGAAACTATGTTATTGAATTTACTATCATGTAAATTCAGATTATGTCTTCCTGTTAAACATTTCCTCTTACCACTGAAATGTTGTTTTTCTCTGGTAATACCTCTTGTCTTGGAGTTTACTTTGCTTGTACCACGTTGTATCTTTTTCTTCATTTTTTCTTTCAACTTATCCACCGAAATGTTAAAGTAGCTCTCCTGTAAATAGCATTTAATTGGGTTTTGTTTGTAATCCACTTCAACAATTTTATTATTTAATTTGGCTATTTACTAAATTTGTATTTAGTATATAATTACTGATGTGTTTAGGTTTATGTCTACCACCTTGTTATTTTCTTTATGTCTCAAATGGTCTTTGTACCTTTGTTTTTCCATCCTGCCTTCTTTTGGATTAATTTGATATTGGTTATTAATCCACTTTATCTCTTATTTTTTTCTTAGCTTTCTGTTGTTGTAATATCATATAATCTTATCTCTTATTTGCTCTAAGGTTAACAATATGAATCTTTACATAATCTACCTGATGTTAGTATTATGCCATTTAATGTACAGTGTAAGAACTTAAATTAATATAATTGTAATTTTCCCTGTTTTATTTTGTCTTGTTTCCATATATTTTATTAACAAAAATATTCTGTATAAAATCCCAGTGGGGTTTATATAAACCCCATTATACACTCTTGTTGTTATTGCTTTACATAATCAACAACATCTAGAAGGAATTTTGTGCAATATTTTTCATTAAAGAATTAGTCTTTTGTTGTTCTTAATTTCTTTCTGCAGAGCTAGGCTTCTGCCTTTCATCATTTCCATTCAGCCTGAAAAACATTCTGCACCCTGAGGAGCTTTCAGATAAGGTCTGTCATCATTTTAAACTCTTAGCTCCTTTTGGGCTTTCTTGTTATGTTATTCTGGGCTGGATGAGGTTCCCATCTGTGTTTCAGTTCTCTCCCAAGCGCAGTTTCAGTTCATGAACTGTCCTTAAAAAGAGCAGAGACGAGGTTCTGGAGACAACTTCTCGAAATTAGAAGTAAGTGTTCGCATCCTATCTTTGGGAATGGTGCTTTAAACCCACACTGCCTGTGACCCTTTACCTTTGTTGTTGTTGTTGTTGTTGTTGTTGTTGTTTGGTAAGTCTTTAATATGTGCTTGATAAAAAAGTTACATCGTAAAAGTGGGAATTTAGTATTCACATATATCTTTCCCCCAGAGAGACTATCATTTAGAATGGTTTCACTAGCTGTATTTATCATGATATTGAAGTATGTAATGAAATGCTAAAAAATATCAGGTATGATGTCAAAATCATAAGAATTTGTCTGCAGGTTGTAGCCCTTGAACGGTAAACACATAGTAGGATGAGGTCTACGTTATCACCATATCTGGCTTCTCTATCATCAGTTCAGATTACTTAACTCAGTAGGTATTTAGTACATGCCGAGGTACCTACGTCTAACAGACATAATGTGCCAGGTTTGAATTCTCTTCAAACGCCAGCCCCCCAAATTACTTCTGCTATGATGTTTCTGTGCTGATTAGGTTCCAGCTTTCTCAGTTAACATATATCAGTAATTTCTCCCCAAAATCCCATCTCCCTTACCCAAGTTGAGTTTGAGGCCGACATTTATAATAATTGACACTTTATTTATGAGTACCAATCATTACTTTTTGATTTTACTAGCTTAAATCTCAGAGGGTTATCTTATTCTGCTACAGTTTGGAGGTTGCCTTACTGCCACTGTAGAGAAGTAGCAACAGAAATTGCCTGGAGATAAAAAAAAATTAATATAAAATTTGCCAGGAAATACATGTGCATACCGACACTCCTGTTGTTGTGGTTGGTGCTACTTTGAAGGATAATGGTGGGTGGGGAGAGGCTTGTAGGTGGATATAAAATTTTTTTTTAGATTTTATTTATTTTTTAGAGAGAGGGGTAGGGAGGGAGGGAGAGACATATCAATGTGTGAGAAGTGAGAAAAATACCAATGTGTTGCCCCTCACATGCCCCCAGCTGTGGACCTGGCCCAAAACCCATGCATGTGCCCTGAACTGGACTCCACCTGGTGGCTTTTTGGTTTGGCACTCAATCCACTGAGCCACACCAGCCAGGGTGACATATAATCCTTTAAAACCCAGGCTATGCAGAGAGTTATAGAAACCAATAATAGTAAGGAATATTGGTCAAATGGTATAGTGAAATAAAACAGGATAGTGAGGTAGAAAGTGAGGAGAAACCATATTGGTTGGGAGGTTGGGGAAGGACTTTCAGAGGAGGTGACCTGGAAGTTATGATGTATATGAGGAAGAGAAGAAGGGGAAGGGTGTCTGACCCCTAAAATATTGGGGATACAAGGCAGGTCCTTGGATAGGTAGATAGCAGCTGTTTATTAATGGGAGAAATGGCCATATAGAGTGAGAACTAAAGAAACATGAAGGAAAACAGGACTATTTTCCTGGCTGGTGTGGCTGAGTGGATTGAGAGCCAGCCTGTAAACCAAAAGGTCGCTGGTTCGATCCACAGCAAGGGCACATGCCTGGGTTGCGGGCCAGGTCCCCAGTTTGGGGGTGTGCGGGAAGAAACTAATTGGTGTTTCTCTCACACATCGGTTTCCCTCTCTTTAAAAATAAATTTAAAAATCTTTTTTTTTTAAAGAAAGAAAACAGAACTACCCTGGCTCAGTGGATTGAGTGCTGGCCTGCAGACTGAAAAGTTTGATTCCCCATCAGGGCACATGCCCGGGTTGTGGGCCAGGTCCCCAGTCGGAGGCATGTGAGAGGCAGCTGATCAGTATTTGTCTCGCACTTAGATATTTCTCTCCTCTTCCTCCCTTCCCTTCTCTCTAAATATAAATAAATAAAATCTTTAAAGGGTGTGCTTCTACAAAGCCATTTCAAGAAAAACAAAGACTTTTCAAAAAATCTTTTTATTTAGATTTTTTTAATTTATTTTTAGAGGAGAGGGGAAGGAGAAGGAAAAGGAGAGAAACATCGATGTGTGGTTGCCTCTCACATGCCCCCTACTGGGGACCTGGCCTGCAACCCAGGCATGTGCCCTGACTGGAAATCGAACCAGCGACCCTTTGGTTCACAGGCCAGCACCCAATCCACTCAGCCACACCAGCCAGGGCAAAAAAAAAGTAAAAACTTTAAAAAATGAAATAAAATAAACAGGATGAGAATAACTGGTAGTTTGATCCTGGTTCTGGTGCTTGGGAGGGATGGATCTAAAGACATTTTCTTGGCACTGTGAAACTGGTTTGTTAGGAAGATTAGCATGGCATCCATTACAGGAGGAATGGACTTAAGTAGGGAGACGGATCAGAATTTGGAGATAACTAAGCATTAAAGAAGGGCTGATATCCAGAATATTTCATCTTTGGGAATGTCTGCTTATTTTGTGTTATTTCCCCTAACGGTGTCCCCTTTACCTGTTTTGCCAATCACTCTTTTTGTTGATCAGTTTTCCTATAGATGTCTTCTGTTCTGTGTGTATATTTTATGGCTTCTCTTTTTATAGTTCCATCTCTCTCCTTAGTTGAAATTAAAAAAACCTCTACTTCTGTCATGCACATCTTGTTGAGTTTATCTCATCATTCTCATTCTAGGAGTTTTTATTTCCCCCCCTAAGTACCCCAATTGTTTTTCACCACCTTCCAGAATGGAAGAACAGATCTAAAAGTCGAGTCATCATCAACTGAAGCCATTTCTCGTGAATAATTGCCTAGCAACATGAGATTGGTAAGATTCACAACAGATGATTCCTGCAGTTCTACTGTAGCAGGTGAACCTGAGAATGAATCAGAAAAGCCGAAGGAACATAATGGAAGTATTGGGCCAGTGGAATATAAACTAGGGCAATAGTGACCCAGGACAGGGATTGGGAAAATGCTGAAGTTGTTAGAAAATGCAGCTTCAATTCAGACTTTCTTTGTTCACCGAGAATTCTTATCAAAGAACAATTCCATCAAGTTGACTGAGGAGTTCAATGCTGATAGCATAATTTTAACTTTGTTTTAAAAAATTGTCAGAAAATCTTGGTAGGAAAGAAACCTTGTAAAGGCAATCTATACAGACAAGCCTTGGAAAAACTGTATAAATGAATGAACATGATAAATATTACAACCAGAGTATATACCTTTAACTCCTGAGATAATACAGGAGAGAAACTATGGATATAAAGGAAGTCGAGACATTTTTTTACCCATAGGTCACACTTCTCTCAGTCATGAGAACTCATAGTGGGGAGAAACCCTACGACTATAATGAATGTGGGGAAAGCTTTAAGAAGCTTTCCTCTCTTGTTCATCATCTGAGAAATCACAATAGAGAGAAAGCCTATGAATGTAAAGAATGTGGGAAGTCTTTATAGCAGAGATTCCACCTAATTTTACACCAGAGAATTTACACTGGTGAGAAACCTTGTGAATGTGATAGATGTGGGAAAACATTTAGCCAAAATTCTTACTTTCCTTAATGCGCATCAGAAAACTCATACTGGAGAGAAACCATATAAATGTGATAAATGTGGAAAATCGTTCAATGGAAAGTCTAATATTAATGTGCATAAGAGAACACATACTGGACAAAAACTCTACGAAAGTGGCAAAGCCTTTAGTGATTGTTCATCATATATACAACATTGAAAGGATGCATACTGTACAGAAACCATACAAATGTAGTGAATGTGGAAAAGCCTTCAGCCATGTGAGAGCCACAGCTCTCACCTTACAGTTCACAAGAGAATCCATACTGGTGAGAAACCATATAAATATAATGAATGTGGGAAAACTTTCAATTTTCATTTATATTTCACTCAAGCAAAGAGAACACACACCGGAGAGAAACTGAATAAATGTTATCAGTGTGGGAAAGGTTTCAGTCAAGATTCTGACTTTATTGGGCACCAAACAACTCATACCAGAGGGAAAAACTACACATTTCATTTTGATAATAAATGCTATACAATTGCATTTAGATTTTGTAATTTTTGACCCATTCCCAGAGAAGGGCTGAGCCTGGGTGACATTTGATACCTTGGGAAACTGCGAATGAAAAATACTTACTAAATTCAAAACTCATTTCAATATTCATTAATATGACCAACTAGTGTGGGAAAGGCTGTTGCTGAGAAGTCAAAATAGTTTGACGATATTTGATGAAATCACAATGTACCTTCCAAAAAGCCAGAGTGCCATTAGTTTATTGTTCCCCTGATGCTAATAAATTCTGATTTGTTTCAGGAAGTCACTATAAACTGTAAGTATGAACACCATGTAGAAACATGAAAAACACCTATAATGTGCAGTAAAAGGTGCAGAAATATGGCTATGTTACCTTATGTGTACATTTGGACAAAGGCTTAAAAGGAAACACAGAAACAAACATATCTAATAATAAGTCTTGGAATATTGTGTAACTTTTAAAAAAAATTATTTATTCATTTTTAGAGAGAGGGAAAGGGAAGGAAAAAGGGAGAGACATCAATGTGTGGTCGCCTCTCGTGCGCCCTCTACTGGGGACCTGGCTTGAAACCTAGGCCTGTGCCCTAACTGGGAATCAAACCAGTAACCCATTGGTTTGCAGGCCTGCACCCAATCCACTGAGCCACACAAGCCAGGCCGTGTAACTTCTTTTTTACATTTCTCTCTAAATTTCTATAATTTTACAATAAGTAAAAAGACAAGAGGAGAGGAAGTATAAGGGAACTAAATGGTAATGGAAAAATACAATAAAAATAATTTTAGAAAAAGACAAAGGAGAAAGAAGATCAATTATCAGTCTGATTGATTAGAAATGGATGCACTATGGTAGCATAAAC